GGATTTAAAAATTGTCAAAGTTGAAATTTATAATAAAAATATAGTAAGTGGACTCAAACTTTTGGAAGCAACTGTATTTCTTATATTTATGTCTTTAATAGTATGAGACTATAACAATCTTTTTCTATCAATTCTCTGATTACATACAAAAAAGATATTTACAAGAAGTTATTATACTTCTATGTTAAAAAAGCCTTAATACTCTCTTTAAATCAACTTAAGAAAAAGTTTAAGAGTTATCATTATACTTCCTCTTTCTTTTATATACATTTTTTTTTAACAAAAACATAACTTTTATTGATCCAAACTATGAAACACTCTTTTTATCAATGGTAAGAAAGTTATGAAAAAAAGAAGAATTGAAATACTTTGGTTCTACCACTTAACAGAGAAATACTATAAAGTTATATTAATAATAAAAAACTTTTTAGAACACAATCACATACTCTTTTAACATAGTAATAGCTTTAATAATGTTCTTTTTTGATTTTTTCTAAAGAAATTTGTCTATCTCAATTTGACCCTGAATTTTAAGTAATACAAAGTTTCATATATAGTGATTGGATAGAAGAGTACACATAAGTAAAAGAATGTAAACAAGTTTTTATTAATTACCTTATATATTTTAAATATATTTTTTTAGCTCCATAAAAATCTGGGGTCTATCATAAATTATTAGATTTTGAGTGTAAGTGGATATAGGATACATTTCCATATAAGTTATTGACTATTTCCAGAAAAAGTTTATTCAATCATGATAAAGATTACAAGATACTATGCCTGGTTTTTAAAGACACAATTGTCTACCTCTGGCTATTAGATAAGTTGCCTTTAGCTCTATCAAATAAATGAAAATTTGAAGATAGGGCATTAGTTCTTCTATTTATTCCTTAACTCAGATTTATAATATAAAAAATAATGTGTATAAATAATGATCTTTATTAAATTATTCTTAAATAATCAGAATCAAATAAAATAATCTATGAATTGGTATATTAGTAGTAATCACAATGAATTAAACAAGATCAAATTTTAACCAAATTTAATTTAATATAATTTTTATAAATATAAATTTAATATAGATCTGATTTATTTTAAATAAATCTAATCTGAATTCAATTTGATTTGATTCAATTTAAAATTAATTTAAATCTAATTTGGTATATTTTGAACTTATTTTAAAATATATTCAACAATAACTGCCTTGATTTAACTAAATTAAATTAAATATATTTAAATTAACTTGATTTTATTTTAATAAAAAAATTTTAACTAATATATTTATTTTTGAAAATATTTTTTAACTTTAAATTTAAAAATTTTTATTTTATTAAATTTAAATAAATTCATTTATTTTATCTATAATTATTTATTTGCTTATATATTAATATATTTTTCACTATAATCAGTAGGTAAATTTTTTCAGAAAAGATTAAGAAAGAGTACTTTTAGAGCAAGTACATGATAAGAGAGTGGGTAGTTGTCTTCAAGATAGAATTTTAAAAGTTTATATAGTATTATAAATATTATTTTAATATTTTAATAAAAAATATGTCATAATAGTATAATTGTAAATTTTCTTAAAAAAAAAAGAAAAAAATTAAATAATTATTGTAATAAAATAATTATTTAAAATATATATATAAGATGATTTATAGTTGTTTTCAAAAGTTTGAGTCTATTTACTATATTTTTATTATAAATTTCAATTTTGATAATTTTTAAATTATTAATTATATAATTAAAAATTCAGAAATTTATATACAGTATATTATATCTTAATACTTATTTTATTTTTTATATTTTTTTAAAAAATTTTTTATTAATAAATTTTAAAGTTTTATTATTGTTAAATATCTTTATTTTTTTATTAATTATCATATGATTTATATTAACAGTCAATCAAAATTCTTCAAAAGTAAAAATTTAATAAAGAAAAAATTTTAACAATAATAAAACTTTAAAAATTATATATAAAAATTTTTTGAAAAAAATATAATAAATTAAAGTATAAGTTAGATGAATTTTATAATTTTTAATTATATAATTAAGGATTTAAAAATTATCAAAGTTGAAATTTATAATAAAAATATAGTAAGTGGACTTAAACTTTTAAAAGTAACAGTATAAGTAATATATTAATTTATTAAATTTGAATTTTATTAAAATTTGAAATTAATTATTAAAAATAATATAAATAAATATACTGTATATATATATTATAAAATTATAATTAGTTAATGCTAATGATATATATAAAAAATAATAATCTAAAAATTTGTTAATTTATTTTAATTCAATTAATAGAATTAATAAAAAATATATTGCAAGATAATTATTAAAAAAATATTATATTAATCTTTTTTATAATAAATTTTCATATATTGACTTTCTAATAATATATTTTTCATATATTGACTTTCTAATAATATATTTTTCATCTAATTTGATATAGCCAATAAAGTATTATAATCTTTTTTTAATTATGTCTTTATTTTGACAAAAAAAAACCTTGAGAAAAAAAATTTTTTAACTTTAAAATAAAATAAATAAAAAAATACAATCCAATTATTTCAGCATATTTTACGGTAAAAAGCTTCAACCATTGACTAATATAGTATGATATAATGACACAAATTTGGTATCCGAAAATCATGGGTCCTAATCCCTCACCCTGAAGTAGAATTACCCACAAACTTTTGATCATATGAAAGAATTATTTGCATTGGGTATTTTGGCATTGTTTTGTTCCATATGTTCACACATATTTATTTCCGGATGCGGCGTCTATGACCTTATAAATACAACAGTTTCCCATTGCAATTCTATGTTCAACGATCTAAAAGAAAGGAAAAAAAAATGTTTGAATCTCATCACAAAAAACCGATTCTTTATTCTTATTATCGATCGTCTTGTTCTTGGCGCGTACGCACATGCTTGAATTGGAAAAGGATTGATTATGAGATTAAACCTGTAAATCTGCTAAAAGAAGAGCAGGTCTGACTTTTTGAATACGAAAATAGGTAACGCAAGAGTATTTTGTGTAACATTTATTCTTTAATCCATTCCAAAAATCAGAAAACATCCGATTATACAAAACTAAATCCACTTCAAGAAGTTCCAACCTTGGAAATTGATGGGGCAGTGTTAACTCAATCAATCGCGATCATCGAATACCTCGAGGAAACTCGTAAAGAGAAACCTTTGTTACCCGAAGACCCTAAAAAAAGAGCTTTGGTACGATCATTTGCATCTAGGATTTATTGAAGTGAAAAAATGATAGCTCATTTACTCCGCTCTCATGATGCACAAAAGGTTAGGTCTATTGTACAAGCAATTGCAAGTGACACGCAGCCTGTTACAAATATGAGAGTTTTAAAATATGCTGGAGAGGATCGCAAAGAAGAATGGCTTAAGCATTGGATGTCTGTTATGTTTAAAGGTATACATTCATCTTGATGGTCATGCTACATATCTTTTTTAACTTTAACTTAATTTTACTGGACAGCAATTGAAAATCAACTTGCAAGTGTGGCAGGTGATTATTGTGTTGGCAATGAAGTGACGCTTGCTGACGTCTGTTTAGTGCCACAAGTTTACAATGCTTACAGGTGCGTCTTCATGGTTTGACTCTATGGTTGTTGCCCTCGATTATGTCTGACAGATTGGCTTCCCTTGTGATAATTAGATTCAATGTCGATATGACACCATTCCCAATTATTAAAGGCATTAGTGAACGATTGCTTGAACTGGAGGCATTTAAGATGGCTCATCCACATAGACAAATCGATTGTCCTCCCGAGTTGAAAGAAAAATAATGTGGAACATGCAGTTAACTATTGTCACACGAAATGAAATTAAATGGATGACGTGCCTTTTATCATTTGAGTGAAATTTTGTATGAATTTGCTAAATAAAAAAAAAAAATCGCGTCGTGTGTTTTGTATACATATAAGAAAATAGTAACATTTTAAAACCCCCTCCCGGTTGTCTTATCAGTTTTCATTATCTTATCAAAAATGCAAGGGATTTTCGGATGATCCCCAATATTAAACCATTGTTGTGCAACTGGTCTTAATTATTATGGGTATTTTTTCCCCGCCTTTCATGAGAAACGGTTACCCGATCAAATTAATCGGCACTTCCTTGCTACACATAGTGTGATGATCATCCGAATTCATGTTGCGAAATTAATGTCGCGCCTTTCAAATTGCTTACTCGCCTATAACGATTTCAGGATTGTCGGGATTGTCGGATATCATTATGACATTGGTTACATTGAATTCTTTAAACGAAATAATTTGGGGTTGAAAATGAATAACAATTTTGAATTAATATTTCTATGCTAATAACCGAGTTCTATCGAAAAACACATTACATCAATATGGCGTTCTTTCGTTTCTAAGAAATTATATACCGCGAAATTTTTTTTTTTATATAACCATTAGAAATTCGTGAAATCATTTTTTTTTTAAAAAAAAAAGAGAATCTGTTTCTCTCGCTTTTCTGGATTGCCTTTTTATTTTTTTTTTTCTGTCTCCAAATAAAATCGTTTCTTTGCATATACGGGGTTCAAATAGCGATGAAAGGAGAAGTCACAACCATTAAAGTGAGGTATAACTCCGGTGGAACTAGAATTGCTCGTAGGATCACCATCAGCAAGTATATCAAGTTGGAAGAATTAGAATACAAGGTATCAATCACCATTTTGCAAGTGCCATACACTACCGATTTGACCAAAATTATAATTATCTATAAATAGATACGCGAACGTTTCGACGTCAGTCTTGACAAAAGGATTGAAATTTATTATTTAGACGATGAAGGGGATCACATCGCCATCACCTTCGAGGAAGAGTTAGCATTGGCCTTGGAATCTCCGAATGCATTAACACTCGAGTTAGTCGTCAAACCAAAGGTACTGTCGTTGGAACTTCATTAATTGTTCTTTATAATCTTTATTGACCTTATTCTGTTTATGCAATTCAAAGATTATCGATGCTTTCTACACCTATCCAAAGGTTTCAAAAGGTAGTCCCGGTGATATTACAGAGGTTTTAGTTGAAGACCAATGGCTTACAATTCCCAGCGCAACGAGAAATGATACCAAAGCATGGGGAACTCACATTTATACTGGTGACTCTGATCTTGTGAAAGGTATATGCACATAACTTATTGTATTTCTACTCTTCCTGTTAACCCTTTCTGACCATTTATTTTTTTTTTTTTTAAACAGCTTTAGTTCACACAGAGAAAATTGAACTGACAGATTTGCCACCAAGATATAATGTCATTGCCACTTTACGCTTCCTGCCTGGCTGCATTAAATACATCGGTTCGACTAGCCAAGGAATAACCACCTTGAACTACGGCCCCTATGATTTGAGTTATGTCATTGAAGATGTTAGAACAGTTCCTCTTTGACTGATCAAAAACGTGCATTGAAGATTTAAAAATCTCTCGGTTTCTGTCGGTTAAAATAATACCATAGTCCCTTTGGTGAATCAGTAATTAACTCAATTGGATTTCGTCTTAATCTTTTTATCGGATTTAAATCAATAGATATATAGAATTACGTAGTCAAGGATACTGTACACGTTACTTTTGTTTCAACAATCAGTTTGTAAGATTTTGGTTTAAAGTATTCATCAACTATTCTATTATTTAATTCGACATCATGATGTTTCGCATAATTAGCATAATTAGTAATTGAATTTATTAGTAATCTTTGAATATTAATATATCTTAATAAAAAATTTCAATAATACCAGTTTTACGATTTTATAAAATACATCAATTTTATTTCATGATCTGAATTTTATTTTTCTAAAAAGAAAAACCGTATAAAAAATTTTGTAGCATTGTGTTTCATTAAATAATAAACTTACAGTATGTCAATTGGAACAGATTTTATTTGAAGCATTTCATTGGATTTTATTGGGGGCTAAACCGGCGAGTTCGTCGCTAATCCCTAGCGGCTCGCGTAACCACAACCAACAACACACAATCAACAAAAGCCTCTTTTGGGAAGTACTTAGAAAGGCAGAGGTTTGATGATTGATTTGGCAAAGGTAAGTGTCTTCTTTATTTTGTGTTCAATTTCTTTTGTTCAATAACCAACTTTCGATCCTCAGGATGTTTATCTCAGCACTTGCCTTTTGTGGCTTAGCTATATACTATATATGCTTTCTAACTAACAATGTGCTATATGCTTGGCAATATGCTATGCTAACATCAAACTTGCTAAACTTTCTAAACTTTCTATATTCCGACACACACACACAGTTCCCTT